CAATATTTTAAATGTAACTATTGTTCCATTTCGACCCGGGTTCTGGGTTCCGTTGTCAAAATCTCTGCAACTTCATATTTAGTAGGACACAACAAAGATTACGTGTGACAAAACATAAAGTACAGAATCTGATCACTGTATTTTAAAATATTTAGGCCTAACTTTGGTCTGTGTTCTATCTACCTCCCACCTACGTTGGCCCTTATCTACCTGTCACTAGAACTATCGACCTTCTCATGTGTCTTTCTTCTTAGCTCCTTCGTGCACTTTTGTCTTGTCGATAGAATAAGCTAACATTAACAAGTTCACCTGAACAGAGACCGTACCAATCATTACGGAACTTTGTATTCAAAATGACAATGTGGGATAGCGACGGAAATTTTTCTTCTCTAAATTGGTCTCCTTTCACGTCCTTTCCTTTTCTAGTAATGTTCTGTCGTCTGCTTTCGTCCCCAATTTCTGCCCCCTTCCTCTCACTTTCTTTACCCCCACCCTCTCATTTTCTTTGCCTCCCCCCTCTGGGCTCCTGACTCTTTCTGTGGCCGTTCCACTGCTACTCCTTTGCTCCTTCTTACTGCTGTCTTTCAGCAACACCCCTTATCTTCTGGTAGGAAAGGTCTACACCTAGCCTTCTCGGAGAAGAGCGAAAAATTTCAGAGGTCCAGTGTTCAAGTTGCGCACGTTAAAGATCCCTTTGTGCTCCAAAAATCGATAACAGTAGGTTTCGGCGGCCACCCGGGCAAAATTCAAAATGCCCTACCAGCTGAAATGTTTGTGCGTGTCCCGCGGCCCATATGACTGTATGCAGTTGCGAGCGCCGTGAAAACTTTCTTTAAAAAGTGAGAATAAAGGTCGTTTCTATAGTGAACGAGATACAGGGTGATTACCTCCTTTACGTGGCTCGTTGGAGAAGCGGAAGATAAGACTATCGTTAACATCAAGATATTTTTTTTTATCTAACAGCGCTCGAACGCATGTTTTTCATCATAGTTATTTACCTAAATTTCACCTCATACTATCTTCATTATCCCCATCATATTCAAAGTTGTAATTGCTCTCATGAGTTCCTAGACATGCATCTATCTCCTTTAATCTCTATTCTAAACAATTTTGTCGCCATCCGTGTCAGTAGGCCTACATGTCTAAATGTACAGTAAAGTCATGACTGTATTGCTAATGTCATGACTGTATTGCTAATAATTTAAACATTATGCACATTTCTTGCCTATAAATATCCAAAGTTATTGAAGATTTACTAAATTCCCTATTGACTATTGTCTTGAAAAGCGAAGGATCTCGAATATCATGTGGAAAGAAAAACTTTACAAGATTAGCAAATCATAACAAATTACAGTAGCTAACATGTTGCAATGAATATGTATGCTATAGTTAATACTACTACCATGTCCATCTTCTGATACAAATCAGTTGGCGTCAATTTGATTGGAATGGGCAAGGTAAAAAAAAAAACCCAACAAAAAGACAGTTACTCATCGCGTGAAAGTGAAGGCAATACTGATGAGCGCTTTCACAATCCAAGCGAAAGAGACGAAGCCAGAGTGATCTTTTTGATGACTTTAATAAAATTAGCCTTTTAATAATTTTACCATCTCTCCCTGGCTGGTGTTCTGTTTCCTACTCAGCTTGAAGATTCTATTTGCTCTTTTTAGAAAGTAATTTCTTTGATGTCTGTTATAAAAGATTTATTATCCTTTTCTAATGGGCTGTTGGCTCAAAGCTGTCACGCAGAATTGACATTTTAAGATTATAATGCTTCTCTTTAGCATCGCAGATCTATTTTTCTTTCAATCTACATAAACTAGAAATGATTGCGTGTATTTATCAATATTATTTTAATCTATAATGCATCTAGACCTAATGTCATATGTCCATCTATGTAAAGTTTTAAAGATATCTCAACCTACCTGTGTAAAGTCACGCTGTTGTGATATGTTCCGGAAAATGCACAAAAAGTGATCCATCGTCATTTTTAAAAAAAAATCTGTTTTGCTTTTAATACAGCATCTTAATTCTAATGAATCTTTAGCTTACCAGTTGACATGTCAGTTTAAAAAACAATATTTTTTTTCAGCAGCCTTTCTATTTGACAGCAAAATAACTGGTGACCATTTCAGTTTTAGGAAACTCCCCTCCGCTTTATAGTAATTCTTGCAGATCAGAAAATTGTATTCTTTTTTGTTCCTTTACTATTACATCATATGTTAAGAATTAAAACTTTGAATACATCATTAGGAGTAAGTAAAAAAGAAAAGCATTTGAGAGAAAGAGTTTCTTCATTCTTTAATTCTCTGTCTCATGCAGCAATTCCTGCCCTGCCTGACCCTAGGTATTCGCGTCCCTGTGCTGAACAGCTTCCTGGGCAGTCTGTACAAGCGCCTGTTGAAGGCCTTTGATGCCGGGGACATGGACACAGCCAGGGACGAGATGGTTCAGGCGCGAAAATTGGTCCTTATCCGATCAAAGTATAGTGAGTGACCATTCGTAATGCCATTGCTTCTTGTCTCATCATTTATTTTAGCGATCGACAGAGTGTTTATTTTGATGTGTTTTTTTTTTAAAAAGTAAATTTTTCTTCTTTAATCAATTGTTGTCAATTAGATCGTCGTCGGATAAGTCTAATGTTAGTAATACTGTTTTTAAAGTACTCAACCCAACAACAATTTAACAAACAGACTGACCTATCTACTTACTAATCAACAGGCCAGTCACTTAACCAAAAGGCGAACAAACCAATATAACAAATATCTTCATTCCTTTTTCTCACAGTTGATGGTCCTGCCTATGTCAAGGCAGCCATGAAGTGTCTGGGAGTTGACCTTGGTCCAGTGAGACTACCCCTAGAAGACATGCCCGAGCACTTGCTGCCCAGCTTGAAGCAGGACCTTAAGGACCTCGGCCTACCCGTCCAGTGACACCATTGCTAGAGGAGTACATTGTACACAGAATCAAGGCAGGAACGGATGGGGCACGGTTTAATCTATTATTGCATCTATCCTTTAACAGATGGAAAAGACCCAGGGGCGCAAAGCACACTTTTTTTAAATAGGGATATGCACTATGATAACGCAAACTATTTTTAAAATTATTATTATCCGTTGCTGGGGAAAGCTTCCAGAAATCGTAAGATTATGTCCCCTATCCCTGTAAGACTCAAGACCACCAATCGAATAATAAAAATATTACAAAACTGTTCAACGCTTTATCTTTACCATCTATAAAAAAGATAAATGAAAAATTAAAAGTTTCTCTTTTCGAGGAACCTGTTTTACACAACTAATTTTCACGATATCAAGTTGATCATCGTATTGCCTAATATGATATCTGCTCTCTTCCAAATAACCATTCAGGCGAAAAATCAAGCTGAATTGTCTATGTGACATAGTTCATTTATTTGGCATGGGAGATACCAACTGACTACTGTACGAAAAAAGATCACGAATTTTTCAGACCTCATGCAAACGCGCGTACGGCGACTAAAAAAAAAAGCCAATCATTTTGTGTAATACTTGTACCCGTACATCTTGTATCAAGACTTTATTTATATCAGCTTGATTTAGCTCAATGTGAATATATGTAAAAAGATGTAAACAAATTAAATGTAAGCAGAAATACACAAAATCCGTACAATTAAAAAAAATTAAGATTTCTAGATTTATACGGAAAATGGATGCTTCAGTCATAACATTATGATAACCATCATATTATCATGGAAAACTAAGAGTGCCCGAAGTAGGAAAGGAAGGTCGCGGTAACCCTTAAACGTATTGGAAAATATTAATTGAGCGTTTCCAGACCGAAATACAATAACAACGCGCATAGTTTTCCAGACATGGACGCGTAAGATCTTTAAATTCCAATGTAAGATCAGGGTTGTTTGAAATCCTGAGAAGCACAAGGAAGAAGAAGACGTAAGCTAATAAGGGAAGTGTATGTGTAACTGGAAAGAATAATCTAATTATGCAACACAGTGAATGGGTTATCACATGTGCCTCGGCGCGGTATAGTCGATTTAGGACTTTGGCGTGGTCGCAGAGGTGATGATTCTCAAATAAGAAATTCTTGAAAGTGGATTGTTTAATGAAATTTTCGAGCATGTCCCAGTACTGGGCTCGGCCGTATTGAAGAGGGAGGTTTAATGAATTATGAGGTCAAACTTAAAAAACAAACAACTAATCTGACCTTGTTGAAAGGGCATCAAACCAATATCATACCATACCTACATATAAAATTCAGATTCCTAAAACCTGTGCGGGGCCTGTGTTGAGCAGCGGAGTCAGGTGGTCAGATGACTAACTTGCAATCGTTTCATGGCTGTCATCATACAGACGAAGATCTCTTTTCTTTTGTGTTTGCTGTGTAAGACCTTGAAAGGGAACGTAAGATACCTGTCAATACTATACGCCCTCATCGACACTTTTTAGAAAATAAAGAAAGCTGGTTATTTGACCCTGCCTACCGGGGCCAACTGAGAATGAGAGGGATACAGCATCCCAACAGAAAAACTGAGAAGCTTGATGAAACAAACGTACACGCCTGGGAATCGAACTCACATTAGCGTTCAAGGCGAAGAGCCCAACCGTAAGTGTGTAGAGGTTTCACAACCGATTAGTATACTCTTTTACAATAAGAAGCCCTCTTTTTTATTTCAACGAATATGAAGGCCTGTCAAGCAAGCTGGAGGTGTTGGCACACACAAGAGTACATGATACCATTGCGTGATGGAGAGATTTAAAATAAAGGTCTCCAGGGTATCAAAAAAGTGAGAACGTATTATTTCTTTTCTATGTTGCACATAATCAGTAGGCTATTACATTAATTTTTGCCACGAAACAATGTTTGTAAATTTAATTAACCTATCAAAACAATAATGAGGACTTCAAGACCTTTGCCTCACACATTGCAACAGGCATGACCACTCAAGTTTGATGAATAAAAAGGTAAGGGATCATCATAGTGAGTCAAATATGCGAAAGGCAAACATGCCGCATTGTTCAAGCGCAGTAAAAATATGCCACTCTCGGGCAAGTATTCTAGACATTTGAAACAATAAGAGTCGAAATCCCCAGACTAGTGGACTTGCCACAAGTGAACTTGACCAGCTGTTTATGCAGATCGGTCATAAACTTTGAGACCCACGAGTCTTTCGTGGGCGTGCTCTGTCGGCATCGGGAAACGAAATGATTACTTTCGTGATCCGCATAGAGCGATTGAGAAAAGTTTCAAAGATCGACTACGTCCAGAAATAGCCGAATAGGTGTACTAAGGATAAAATATCCGTGTCATCTTATTAGATTAAATGTGCACTCCTAGGAAGGAATGGTGGTTTGCAAGAAAATAAGATAGCGTGTCAGGGTCATCTTTATTTCGCAGAAGAAATCATTTCCGGTGTGAAAAAGTTCTAAATAAGGATATCGGGGGCAAAATCTACTTAAATTATTTTTTAAAATTAGAGTGAAAATAAGATAGATCGGCGAATGCTTGAAAAACGGTTGTAAAACTTACACAATGAAAAAGAGGAAACACGTAATGTGACGGCGTTATTTTCAGAATAGTACCTGGATCAAATTTTAATAGCAGGAAGCTGGAGAGGAGTGCCAAATTGACAGAAATATTAACAAAGGAAGTGGTATTTTGTTATTATGAAAGAGATTGTTCTAGAAAAGAAGGGACGGGAAGAGGAAAACGAGGATTGGGGGGGGGTGTCAATGCCATCAAAACGGCCGATCGTTTGGAGGCAAACACGGCTACAAACTGGAGCTGCTCTGATGGGAAAGCCTTGCAGTCAGCGGCGACATATTTTTCCAAACACCTTAATCTGTTTTTAATCTCATATCAACCGCCCCCTTCCTCCCCAACCATTTTTCCATATTTAATAAGCAGAGATAAACCTAAGCCCGTTTGGTTTCTCTTGCCCTATGTTTCTTGTAATTTTCTTTTAATCACTAAAAAGAAAGAAAAAAAACAACAAAAAAACAACAACTGACCGACACGTTGTATTGTTTTGCTTTTTTTGTGCATGCAGTCTTATATTTTATTGACCTTCAGATGTTTATGTCTTTTATCTTCACGTTGAATAGCGTATTAAAAACGTCGAATTCCTTTTATCTTTTTTGGAATATCATAGGATTACTGGCCTAAACATTCAGTTTTATAATAACGAAGGCGTTTAATTTTGTATAGCTCGTCGAACTCAAAAACGTCATAGCCTTTGCTTACAACTTTTGATTGAAAGCACCAATTTTTTTAATCAAACTTTTACCAAAAGTCTTGTATAAATTTGTCTTAACTTATTGTAAGCAAACAGTTCTGGCCCGAGTATTATAAGCAAAGTTTTATCTTTGTGTTTGGGTTTGGTTTTTAAAAAAATTTTAATGAGCAAAAAAATGTGATGGCTTTCAGGGTGTCTCGTATCAGGTCGTCATACTTAGTATCTAAAAGAAACATGAAGAAATTATTTTTATTATTTAAAAAAAATTTTTTTCCTATGGTTTCCTGTTTTCGCACAACTTTTGGGTTTTTCGAAAACTTCCGTTTTTCCTGTGTTTCAAAGAGAGTTTAGCTTGTTTGGACGAAACAAAAAATAAAATAAAACTATTATGACATATGTCACAGACAGGGGCGAAGCGTCTATATAATCAAATAATCACTGCTTCCCTTCCTAATTTTGAAACATTGTCGCTGTCAAATTCATCCATAAACGTAAACCTCTTAAATTAAATGTAAAAAGACGCCCGTAATCAACAATGAACAGTATGTCTAACATTCAAAACGTT